TTTCTTGAATGCATCAAGTATTTAATGTGCGTGCAAAATTTGGGAGTGGCCGTTACACACGATACGTAGCCTACAAGAGAGGGTGGAAGTTGTCTTCCCTCAGCAGCAGAAGAATCCACTGGTTTCCGGTACACGCGAAAGTCTCATTAACTTTCGCCACCCGATATACGTCCCGTTTTAAAATGTGAATCTACTGTTCATCGACCAGAAACCGTAAGAACGGTAACCGACAAAAGAATATATTTGTACACAATAAAAACTAATGTGGCTGCAATGAAAAAATTGATATACGTTTAATGTTTTGCAAATATTCGCAGCAATATAATAAATAACTGCTATTGCTGATAAGTCATTTGAATTCAAGATCTGTTGTATCATTCATAATTGATTGCATACCGAATCCGGTTTTATTTTTCGTTCGAGATGTATAATTTAACTCATAGATTTATCCTCGATATAAATTATCGATTAAAATTATGCTAATGTGCGTGTAATAGGTTAACGTCACGCGTATACCAATGATCAAGTGTGTGTCGCTTTAATTTACAACGTTATGACGGAACATCCTACGCACGCCGCCGATGAGAAACGTCGACGATTCCACGGCGGATGAACAGCTAGCGAAGCATCGTGACGTCGGTGGACTATCATCGTATCAATGCGGCGGAGATTGACAGTCCTGGCCGTGATAAATGATATTTCCAACGTCCTACTCTCCCCGCTCCCGCTCCCGCTCCCGCTCTCCTTCCTCCCTCGTACCACTGCGGATCCATCCCCGCTGAGTTCGGCTCGGCACGAGGGTGCCCCGACCGAGCGGACTGAGTAGCGAGGAGGGAAGATATTCGCGGCGAGAAGTAAACACGTTACGCAAACAAACGCTGGATCGATAATCCCTCCCTCCTTGAAAGTACACTTCATATATGAGATTTTTAAAAATATATATGACACGAATATTTTTTTATTGAAAGGTATTGACTTTTGATTAACCAATTCCTCGGGACAAAAACTCTCAGGACACTAACAATAAGCAGTACACGCGACAGTGTGAAATCTGAAAAATTTGACGCTCTTAATTTGTCAATGCTTACTTCATGAAGCATGATAACTTCTCATTTTTTATATAATATAAAAAAGGGGTCATAAATATTCTCGAGTCGTAAACTGCGCACGATGATACCTGAGATCTTTATGGCCCTTCTTAAACATGACACCATGAAACTATTTTGATGATGTTTATATTATAGGCACTTTATGAAGACAGATTCATCGCTTTATGAAATGCTGGCATTTCAAGAAAGCAGCCTCGTGTCAAAATATAGAAAATACGCTATTGCGATTATTCTACTTCACAAAATACATATTGTGCGGCTCCATATCAGTTTTCAATTTCACACTGCCGATTTTTTATGAAATGACTAGGCATTTTATAAAAAGATAAAAATATATTTCATCAAATTCTTACGATTTATATATAATTTAGCAATAAAATTTTTTTTTTTGTCGAATATTTTGTATATCTTTGACAAAATAATTTAACTGGGTATTCTGTTGGATATAATAGAAATCGGGCTGTGAATAGCAGGAAAATCTATAAAGACAGGTTTCTTTTTACATTTTTCGGTATCCTTTACGTAAAGTTACGAGGGCCGTCAAAGGTTGGGCAACTGTGTTCGCAACTTTCTCTGTTTTGTTCAAAAAGGCACGTTCTGTCCTAAGGTATCTCAGCATGACCTAGCATTCACGTTTTCGGTAGAAATAAAATTAATACAAAAGACACATGTGCACAAATTTATTTATTTTTTTCATGGTAACAATGTAATTGAAGGTCTGCGATCAAAAATATTTAAATTTAATATTATTCAATCAAATTATTTAGTTAATTTATTATTAAAGTTTATGAGACAGATATATATGTATATTTAATTTCAATAAAATACTCAAGATAATGAAATAAATTGTCGCTTTGTATTAATATATATAAAACCACGTCATATAATTTGTCGCAGAATGGCACACCGCAAACGAAATATAAATTAATCATTCCGTCTGGGTTGAGTTCGATACTCCAATTTTCCCAAATGGCTATAAATGTCCCCCTCTCTTTCTTTCTTTCTTTCTCTCTTTTCCCCTTCTCCCGTTTTTGCGAAAATTCCTTATTTCAATCGTTGCTCGCATGGCGGAGGATAGGGCACATATGTCACCCTATAAAATGTTACGCCGTTCTAACAATGCGAACCCACACAATCTGTTACATTAACTAATAATCAGTACAAATATATTTCTTGCGTCCGGTAAATATATTTCTTGCCATTTTTAATTGTATAATTCTTTGTTATATTATTATAAATTTTTCTATAATTTGCGTTACCTCTTTATTTTATCCATTACATTTTATAACTTAATACTTACGTAACTTTTATATTTGCAAATTGACGATTGTCGAAAATATGTCACCCAGATTTAAGTTGAACATTGTCACTTCCATTTAGTTACGGTTCTTCTTTCTTTGAAAAGAAAATTCAATTTGGATCCGTGACCAAGAATACATGGTGAAATTTTGAAAATGCTTAAGTTTCTCAGTTCTATCTTTACCTGCCTAACCAAGAGCTGACAATATTGTTTCTAGCACAATGGCCACAATTGTCACGTCGCAATTTATTGCATAAAAGTTTGAAAATAAGCATGACAAATTTTTCAACGGACCAAAAGAAGAAAGTTAATACGTAAAAACTAATTGTGTTACTGCTCAACGTCATTATAAAAAAAAATTGTAAAAATTGTTGTGCAATATTTTAAGCTGGATATCATTTAGAACCTTTTATTTATTAATATAATATTAATGGCTTACTATGTCAATTACTATACTGACATATAATGTGTATATCGTGCTGTTTTAACTTTTAGAAAGCGAAAAAGATTTCCTTCTGCGGCGTATAATATATTATACGTCGACAATGCGACGCAAGCCAGCGAAAATAAAGTCAGTAGCCAAAATCATTAACGAAATGCTCCCAACTCCGGAACCCTCGGCCCTTCCCACAAGTATCGCCCGTCGACGATTATTATTTATTGCTATCATGCCAGTCGACTAACATAGAATGCATTTCACGTCCACACGCGTGAGAGCGCACAGACATTCTTCTAGCACAGTTTCATTCACCGTGTATACCTAAATTTGACTGTATACATATATATGACGAGTGTGTGCACGCATGCAGACGCGTGTCCGTTCGGATCGGCCGTTTAGAATCCCCGCCCGTAGGATTGGTCACCATTTCGAACTTGTCTATCAATCATTTTTTCGGCCGCGTTTTACTATTTATAGTTTGTCCGCAAGGCCGTCTATTATCTTCCGTTAAGGATAATTGGTTTTTTTTAACCTTAGCCCTCTCTCTATCGTTGACGCCTTGTCCATCATATTTAATCAATACATCTCACTTAAACGCCCTAATGTTCTCGTTATTTTGTAATCGGTAATAGACATTGATTACGGAATCCGCCATAAATATATATTTACAATATTTAAATATTATAATAACGGTAAGAAGAAAGACTATTTCTCGCGATTTCGTTCTATTAATACACGATAAACAGATATTCATGCTTTTAAACTCACAGTAATTGTTATTAATCCTGCTCTTACAACTATTCATGAATCAATAACCAAAGTGAACAGCCAGATTTCGTAGAATCGGCAAGGAAGAAAATTGAAGAGAAAAAAAAATGCTAGTAAAGAAAGTACAAACTGTATTATATATTTTCATTTTCCTTTACCTGTTTTGATTTATTTCGATGGGAAAGTTAGAAGTAATAAAAAACAAAAATAGAATTTGTGAAAAAAAATATTTTGTGCAGTTTTACAATTAGGAAACAGAACAAAGAAAAGAAAGTCTGTGCCATAAATCATTAGTCAGTTTCAAAAAGAAATTCACCGTCGAGATTCTCTTAAGTTAATATAAATTTCATCTTATTGCGTTTCCGTTATATCTGTGTTGCATTTTATATAATTTTTACTTTTTATTATTCTTGTACTTAATTTTCAGTAATAACAAGTATTTATTAGTCGCTTAAATGGTACAGTTCAAATTATCACAATAGTTTTATTAACGTATTACTCTTAATAAATAAAATATTATAACAAATAAATGTTTTATATTAAAAGTAAGCCGGTTCCATACCAAATTGACGCTGGGGAGCAACGATTCTGCAGCAAAGATGTTCCATACGTGCACATGGTAGCGCGTATTGTGCGAGGTCGGATTGGAAAGGGAGGAGGGGAATAGCAATGGGGTTTTGTGTCAGTAGTGTTACTAGTGGGAGGGGACTGCGGCACGAACAGCAGATCAAAAATCGAATGTATATTGGGGGTGGCCTTAGTATAGTGAATGAAAGAGCAGCTGACAAAGACAGAGCCCCCCTGCGATACCTCGGTTTAGCACGAGGCGCCTATGGAAACTTTTGCCAAGGGTAACGCATCCCCTCCAGTCTTTCAAAGACCTCTGGTCACGTACCGTACAGCGAAAACTCTGTCGGGGTTTTTCGATAGAACCGTAAAGCCTACTACCCCTCCTCTTCCCTTCTACCCGCTGTGCCAATAGATACCCCTGCTGAAGAATAACCGAAAACAGTCTGCAGAGGACCACTGCAGTTACGCTTAACTAGCCTTACCGTATGCTTCGATCTCGTATCGGAAAACGGTCGAACGGTGAATATATAAAGTCTGTTAAGTCTTTGAGTCGTGATGTCTTACGTTCATATTACAAATGCGAAAAATTGACATTTTATATACATTTGTGGTTAATTGTTCGTGCAATATAATGTAGTTGTAATAGTTGTACATAGTTATTAGACGCAAGAGTGTAATAATGTATACATGAATTCATGATAATATGGTAATATGAATTCAAATAGCTATCAGAAGTTGCCTGACGAATATGCCATTACATCAATCATATTATTCGCAGGCACCGTGTGACAATGTGTGTCAGTATACGACTGAAATGTACCAGGAAGGTACAACTAGACAGTACACACCAGAAGAGTGCAAAAGTGTATTACCTAGTTTATTAAAGGACGTTCTACTACATGGCAAGCAAACAGTAAAACAACATTATTATGCAGATTCACACGTGAATACAGATATGTTTCCGAATTGTCATATCAAACCACAATTATCATACCAAACCACACCAAACAGTCAAATTACTTCGCATAATCCATGCCAAAACTCTTCTGCCGAATACCATGCATTCGTCTCTCATATATTACCGACGGAACATGAGCAATATTTTAGCAATTTACAAAGGCAATATCAACAACAGCAATACAACGAATATGGCCAAAATTACCCAGAACACATTGTGCAATCACCAAATTACGGATTTTCTGAATCGTCCACTACTTCAATGCAATGTGAACAGAACAAACCAAAACAACAAACCATCTTTAATTTACAAGCATCGCAGATGAATAGTCATCACGGAAATAACAATAATAATATAAGACAAAGAAACGAGAATATTGAAATGTCCAATCCTAACAACGGACAAAGAAAACCATATTCCAACAATGTCGCAGATTATGCATGGATCCATAAAAAAACAAGAGGTTAGTTATTTATTATATTATACTTTTATATTATAATGTAGTACATTTATACTATAATAGCAATCGGAGAGAAATTTGAGTGACTGCTATTTATATTTTATCTTTCATAGACAACTCGTAAATATTATAAATCTTTATTTATTTATTATATTTTCAACAAATATATAATTAAATCTCATTCAGAACTTTCAACTATTCAATCGACCTTATGTAAAACTAAAGCATACATGGGATGATCGAAGCGATCAAATCCAGGATTCGCCAACTGCAAATCAATTGTTTCCACACAAAGTCATGCGTCATCTTAATAAATAATTAAATATATAATATTATTTAAAGTATAGCAGTAGCTATACCATATTAAACTATCTCTTTTGTTTGTCTAAAAAATATAAAATGATTATCAATATAGCTAAAAGATTATTAATAGACATTTAAATAAACTATTTAAGACTGTTTAGATATTTTTAATATTACAAAGCGAGATATAGCTTGTGATACATACTTAATTTTATTAATCGTCGTGATAATTTTATTGAATAAATGAAAGCCATATTGCCTCAAATTAACTATATTTATCCTTAATATATATTATATATTTATTAATACAAAAATTATTGATTGCAGCCAATCAAGGAAATGGAACCGAACAGAAACGCACGAGACAAACCTACTCGCGTGAACAAATCTTGGAACTGGAAACAGAATTTCATTCCAATCAATATCTCACAAAAATCGGACGTCTCAGGCTAGCTGACAAAATTAACTTGACTGAACGTCAAGTTAAAATTTGGTTTCAAAATCGACGAATGAAACGAAAAAAGGATACAAGCGTATCGCCAAATAATTCACGCTTAACCACAGCCGCTTCAACAGCACCGAAACTAGTAGCACCAGAATCTAACACTCAGTTCATGACTCCTGATAAACTAGTATTCAATCCAGTGCAACAGGTACAATTACAATCGCAACATCAATTTTGCGAAAAACAGTATTTTACTGATGATCGAAACGTATTAGCAACGTCTTATTCGAATAATTCTAAAGATAACAGTTACGGAAATTCCATGGTAGGCCATACCCAGACAGCACCGATATCTTATGAATATTCAAATAATGTTCATGGACATTCCAGAGTGGACAAATATGGATATCCATAGGATATGCGCTGTCTGAGTAATATATCATTCTCTGATTTTAATACTTTTCAAGAATTTATTCTGCAACGTTATGAAACATAGTGGGTGACATTTTAACTAATTCATATTTTTATTATTTAACACAGTAACTTTTAATATTAAAATATTAATACACTGAGACTTTCTGTCATTAAGAAATGTACATAAAAATATTTTTCAATGACGTGATTATTTGTAATTATTTTGCATTAATATCAAAGTTTATTAGAATTATTTGCATGTAATAATTGCACTTAATATACACATACAATGTAACAAGTATTTGCGATAAAATATAGCCATGTATATTCAGATCAGACCTACATCGGCGTCTTAAAATTAATCGAGTTAGTTTTAAGAAACGAACTTATGGCAAACTCGGGACAAAGTTGGTCCTTCACGCTGGTTCGTAAAGAGGGAATGCCGCTACGGCCGAGATCGGGGCAGCTGACCTTGCAACCACTATGATTTATGGCCGAGCTAAACAACGAGCATCCTATAGCTCAGGTACACGAAAGCTCGGCCGTTCACATCGCATTTTCTCCTGAGCATTCTTTTCCTAACTTTGCATTTCGACTGTAGATTTTGCCCATGAGTATTGCAAACGTCATCCAAAAATATTTTGACGTACAGAGCAAAATTCATACACGATCTGATTAATGATAGTATCCGCATTTACATTATTGCTAACTAGAATATCGATTACATTTTCGAAACTTTCCTTTTTTTTTTAGTCAACATATAGCTACATTACAACTTTATATGAAAATACATATACAAATTAAAATTAATCTATAATTATAATAAAATAACAAGATACATAAATATGTAGTATACATCTTTTTGTCTACAGGATTTTATATAATATACATATTGTACATACATACATACATACAGAATGTCATATAATATGCGGACCACTGCTCGTGGGCAAATAGAGCGGGTAAAATTTAATCGAAAAGTCATTTACTGTTTTGTAAGTTGTTCAATAATTAATGAGAAATTAATTAATAGGTACAGATACGCGAATCAGGATGCATCCGTGTAATTCGACGAAAAAAAGCAGCCCGACGTTTACGATGTCACACGCGTGGCGAAGCATTGAAAGAAACGCTAAGTAAATAACAACGGCTAACATGAGCGATATTCGTTCGATAACCATTGTTATTTATAAATCGCACCTTCTAATATTTCGCCATGCGTGTAGCAACATGAACGCTGAGATGATTCTTCTAGTGACTAGTCGAATCACACGGACACATCCTGATTTGGATATCTGTACCTATTAATTAATTTCTCATTAATTATTGAAAAATTTATAAAACGGTAAAGAACTTTTCGATATTTTACTTGCTCTATTTGCCCACAAGCAGTGTCCTCCGCATATTACAAGACACCCTGTATATATATCTATATACATATCTACATTTTATATCTATACATACATATACCTATATATGTATACAATATAAGTATGTACATGTTAAGTATATGTATACGTATATAAAATGTTAAAAAAATTGTATTTATATTTAATCCTATAATTATATTATAATTTATCAAATATTATCATTTATTGTGTAAAGTCTTCCATAACGAACTTATAGAAAGAACTATCAATAAACTTATAAAAAGGCTTTTATATGTATATAATTATGAAAGCAAAGCAAATTTGTGTACACTTGCATGTTATGAGCAGTGTTAACTTGAAACCATTTGGCAAGCTTAGAACGCTAGAATTTAGGGGATGAGATAGAGTGGGGAGGATAGGCATGCAGCTGCGCTGTTCACACGAAACAAGATGGTTGAAAGCGTAAGCGTGCGTGAATGAGTGTTCTTCTTTTATTCTTATTTTTTTAACGTTTTAAGTGTTTTTTAGCGCGAGAATTTTTTCTCTTCAACTTCAACGTACAGTGTTTTCGGAAAATGGATACAAATATATTGCAAGTGAACAATATTGACAATAAATACTCATCAGTTTTATCGGTCACAAACGATGACAGTGTAATAGATTTCACGGTCTAATAATAAAAACAGAAAAATTCTTTTAATGTGACTTTTGTATTTGTGTCATAAAAATATTAATAAATTAAAATATAAATAAATTTAAACGCGTAACAATAATAAACCAACACATCAATTTTTTTCATCTAATCAAAGTGTAAAGAATAATTACATAAAATTGTTAAATAAAATTTTCCAATATTTGTGTCCATTTCTGACTGCACAGTTATAAATATTGGTTTGAATATGTGCAGATTGAATTTTAAATCAACAATAGTAATTTTACTTATATTTTTAAATAAAATTAGAATGTCAAAAAATTTTTATATATTCTCTCTAGCATTCTTTTAAGTTGTCATAAAAGAACTTATGGTTAATAAAATAATTATTTTTAATCTTTAAATGCAAAACATATCATAATTACATAAAATCGTAGAATATACAGTAATAAAATTTATAACAAAGCGTTTAAAATTAAAAAAAAAAGTATTATGTTATACCTTAAATCATATGTTTGCATTAGATATTTTTTATAAATATTTTTTTGCTTTCTTTATGTCTCATAACTTAAAAGATTGGAACAAAAAGTACTTACATAATTTTGTAATTAATGCATACTTGTAATTAATGCATTTCACACATTTAAATTATGTATTAATTTAAATATATAATTATATAAATTATATATTTATCGTTATCATATGCATTCATATCACTTTCTCTGATGATATTAATGGAAAATTTACATCGAAAAAACTTTTCTTTTTCTCACTGCTAAATTAAAATTCACTGTGTTAAAACAAGAAATGTATTAAGTGTAAGCTTAATGTATTAAGTGTATTAAATGTAAGCACTTTATAACAGTTTAAAAGAATGCTAGAGCAAATTCAATAACAGATCTCGTTTCGAGTCTATAGAAATAAATGATTATTTTCCTTCATTTAAAATTTAATCTATAATTATTAAAGAAATTCACATTATTGTATCAATTTTGACTGATACAATAGTATATTAATACTGACAATACATATATATTTTTTAATCATTCATATTTGCTGTTTAAATTACACATACAATTGTTCATACTGTCAATGCAGCTTTATTAAAATAATATTAATTAATTATATTATATGTAATTATATTATATTAATTATATATGTATAATTAATAGTATATTAAAGTTATATTAATGTAAATGTTTATTAAGACGGAATCTCTCAATATGTACATTAATTAATATGCATATTTTATAAAGATTGTAAAAATTATCTTTTTTAAATAATAAATAGCATGATAAAAAATATAATATAATTTTCTGTTAATATTTAAGATATGTAATTCTATATTAACATACGCGATGTATTAATAGCGGTTCATATGTATTTTTATATAAAAAAATGACACAAATGTATATATAGAAAATCTAAATAAATATGTATGTGCAGATATTAAGTTACTTTTCTCTTCAAATTATGAAATTTATGAATATTTCAATAAATTTGCAGATATGCTGCACATTAGAGTGCATTTTTAGGCAAACAAAATCTATAAAAGAGGAGATAGGTTGTTCGCGAAATGGTCGAAGATTTAGGCGAAAACGGAAAAAGAGGGGGAAAAGGATGGAAACAGGGGGCTGAGAAAGGTTTGTATGGCAATGTGTAGGTAAACCTACATTGCAGAACGCACCCCCAGGAGGGACGGCGGCAGCGAGAGTGAACCCTGAGTTTGCAGGGGTTGGACAGAGAGGGCGAGGGTCGATATTGTGCTTGACAGATAGTTTCCCATAGCTCCGACAATCCATCATGGCCGGCACGCGGATACGTATTGGTTTTTGTGCAACGCGTCTTAGCTGTGAACCTCGAATTGAATATATTTTTTTCTCTACCAATCCTCTTGCGTAAAATTTGTTTTTGTGTGCTGCGCGGAATTTTAACATAAAATAAAGATACGTATATAATTAAATACTGTATTATAAATTCACATGTACATATTTATATAAATTTTAATTTATAAAAAGTATAAGTCCATTTTTTCGGAAAAATCTTGCAAAACATTTTGCATTAACGTTATAATAGTAACTTGTGTAGAGGTATAAATATTTTGTTTTAAAATATATATTTTTATACCTATTTCTTAATCTCGTAAATTTATTCTCTCTCTCTCTCTCTCTCTCTCTCTCTCTCTCTCTCTCTCTCTCTCACACATCTCATATGAAGATTAAAGATATAATCTACCTCTATATTAGAACTGGAACAAATTATCAATTCATAGCACGTATTGACTCAAAATTACTTGTAAGTCGGTTGCTATACTTCGTGAAATCCAATCTTAACTTGATAGTTACAATTAATTTGATGCAATCCGTTAAATTCGTAATTGTTGAATGAATGACGACACCGATTATAGGGCTCTCCGACGGTAAAGTCTTTCTCATGAAAGCCTCAATAAACCTATGCATCACATTGATATAAAGTAACGCAATAATCATATCATTCAACTAGAATCGCTATTAGAATTTTTACTATTCGATTTATTATTTATTTATGACGTCATTGATTCGCAATTGCCCAACGGATGAACATTTACAAATGACTCGAATCATTCTTCGTGTATACGATTGAAACCTAATTTCAATGATAATAATTGCTTTGGCGGAGTCATCGAACCGTCGACACTGGATGGATGATAGTGCGGGGTAGATTATAACAGTGCACACGCAGAAAGAGAGGTAGAGAGAACGGACGAACGGGTGCATAAACCATCTCGCGAATTACTGAGAGAAAGCATAACAGATACACGTGTCTTGGCGGCTCCGCTTTGCGACACATGATTCATGGGGATCGTGATACGTTTTTTACACCTGCGACAGCTTTATTGGAAATTCTAATGGAGAGGGTCCACCGTGAAGAGTGACACGAGACCTCAAGGCAATGCACCTCGGATCGACTAAAATAGGCCGGTCAGGTCTTATTTCTTGCCGTAGAACCTTACCATCATCAGGCATCAATTGCGTTAAATCGAAACACATTGACCCGCTGACGCGTGCGCGCGCGCGCGCAGAGTAAAATAATCTTGGCAATTAAATAAAAAAAAATATTAAATAAAAGTTACATTATGTAATTTTATGCTAGTTTTACAACTTATATCCATTTCTTTCTTCGCGTTTTGATGGTATAATTCGATCATAAATCTACAATAATGAAAAAAATATGAAGTTTCTAAAAATCACAATTAATATTAGGTCGATGATCTGCACAATAACTATATCTTTCTACTTATTTATCTTAACAGTTATATGTACAATAATCCTTATTTATTTTTCTCTCTTTCCTTTTCTTTTATCTTTCTCTCTTTAGACTTGATAAAAAGTATATTTGTTATCAAAATAGGTCTAATATGTTTCGTAAGTAAATATTTTCAAAAGTGACAGCAATAATGGAGAGATAGTTGAGCATTGATCATTAAGTGATAAAGTAGAATTTTAATCCATCATTTAGCAGTTTTTGAATCACGATTCATCAGCCACGCGAAAGAAGAGGCCTAAAGTGATAGTCGGTGTAGGACAAACAGCCGATTCTGAAGTGGCGAATCCTATAGAAATGGTGGGGATACAGCCGCATATACGTACACAGATGCGACAACTCCAAGTAGAAGAGATAGCCAGTTTCGACTGAGCAGTGGGGTAGACGATTAAGTGGTGGGGAGAAGAAGAGGAAAGGGTAGGACGGCCGGGGGCGGGCGCGCGCCACAATTCAACGAGACAGCCGCACTCACCACATCTGGCGAGCGACTGCCACACTATCGGCCTATATTCAAAATTTCAATCTTCCTTCCGAATTAAATAGCGGCTAATGCCACAAATTAGCTATAGCAATCTATCTGATAGAAACATAAAGCAAATAAAAAATATCACGGAGAAGATTTTGAGAAAATTAAAAATTTTTAATTCAAATTTTATAACTTTACTGTAATAGCTAAAAAATTATTGTTTTTACAAGACTCCATATTATTTTAATAATATAATAAAACTTTAATAATAGATAAAGAAATAAAAATTTTGAGATTTTGACAAATTAAATATTGAGAATAAATAATAAACTATGAACTAATCGTATGTGAAAAAGAAAGTACACGCTATTAAAAAGACATACTATTAAAATGTCAACGAAATTTTGCATAAAACGTAAAAACTCGTTTAAAGTCTTATTTGTGATGAGCAAAGAGAGCTCCGCCTCCTCAACCGTCCCCTCCTCCCCGATGCTACCCCGGAGTGCCCCCCGTTTGACCAACTGGCTACTACGTCACACATGCTTCTGCTTAGAGCCGCCAACTCCGAAGGCTCTCCTCTCAGGCCGGCTCAGTGAGTTACGAGTTGCGTCCGGGTTCGCCGTACGAGCGATAACGGGGGCGTCAATCGAATCGCGATTGGGAGAGGATTCTACCTCGTGCACGCTCTTCCCTCCTTGTCTTTCTCGGCTACAGGCAACAGGTTTGAATTTATGGGACAATAAAGAGTGTGGTGCGTAGTGCGCGTGTCTCTCTCTCTCTCTCTCTCTCTCTCTCTCTCGCTCTCTCGCTGTCTGTCTCTCTGTTTCTCTATTTCTCTCTTTTCTTTCCTTTACGCATTTCTTTCCCGCTCTAGGCCGCCCTTTCTCTCCTGTCCTTTCGTTGTGAAAAGAGTGAGCGGCGAAGACTATCAAACTCTCATAAAACTGTCAGCCGCGGCCACCGGGCTGACTTATGTGCGCCCCTTCCTTAGCCGCGGTTGGAGAACCACACGCTTTCAGGTTGAATCCGCACCTCTCGCGCAACGAACGCGATTCCATCGCAAACTTCTTAACGAAAGATCGGACGTACGATCTCCGCGGTCTAGGAAAAAAGCGATCGAAAGTGAATCTTGGACTCATGGTCCAGCGTTACAATATGCAAGTACAGCAATCCGCACTTGTAAAACGTAAAACTTTTCTTCCGTCTTCTAATCAGAAAGAGATGCGATACGTATGATCGAGCTAAAATGGATTCGCGACGGATGAAATCGGCGAAGATACGGTGATATTAATAGGCGAATCGTTTTCGGTCGATCAGTAAGGAACAATCGCACCTCGGTGTGCCGTACCACCCCTTTTCTTTTTCATCTGTCTTCACCGCGAGGCTATACAGTAGGGGGCGCGTGCGCGCGTAGCCCCCCTCGCAAAGCGAACGGAAGACTGCTTCTTGGTGACGTCGCGGCTAGAAGGCTGCAGAGGAGAACGAGAGAGCGATCGAGATACTTCTCCCCCACCAGCGGTTTCAGGGCTCCCGAATATCTCTCCATTAGCCCCCCTGACGGTGCTATCCCCTCTCCTTGACCCCTCTCTCGCTCTCTTTCTCTCTCTTACGCACACCCCTCTCATCGGTTCCTGTCACGTCGGGTAGCAGCCGGGCAACACTACCATACGACGAGCGCCAGCGGCAGCGGAGACTCGACGGAGACGCAAGGAACGGGGTTGAAGAATCGTACGCCGACGGAGAGACCAATCAAGGTTTGACGAACGGCAGGGATTGGTCGAGGCGCTCCTCTGACACGCAGAGAGCGCGGGCACGTGACAAGCTACCGCACACACCGGCCTTCCGTTGGATCGCGGCGAGGCCTTCAGTACGATACCAACCACCCTTCGCGCACGCAACAAGAACGGCCAACTCGCGCGGGTGAACACTCTTCACCCTTTGCCGTGGTCGAGCCTCTGCTGTTGCCTTTTCCCTTTGCCGCGATATAAAGCCGTCTGTTAAGTGCAACACCTGTGACAACGTTGAAGCGCAATTAATCATCGCGTGAATAATTTTAATGCGCGCACATATGTGTTACCTCGCATGTTACTTCATTGAGGAACGACTACGCAAGGTCATCTTCAATGGGGCGCCTCGATAAGCTGTTCGTTACGCGCTACTGCACGGTGGGCCCACGAGTTCTCTGTAGGTAATCGCGCGACTCCTGAGATCGTAAAGAAGCAGAAGACAGTTTTATAGCCCAGGCCCACGTGGCCCTCATAAACTTGACTCGCAGGTCGGTTCGAATTCAGGCTCGACCCGCCTGCCGCCAGACGTCTGCCTCTCTCTCTATTAGTCCTGAACCCCTCGTTCATTATCGAATCGCTTAGGGACGTGTTTCTCTCGCGTGTAACAGGTCGTGATAGCTGTGAATCGTTCGACGAACAAGGTGAAGCTTGTCGCGGAGCAGCTGATCACGTGTGTAGCCCAGCGATTTTTTTCATTGCGATTTTCGTCATTGCCGCGCGACGATGGATTTCTATACTTAATGACGAGGCGCGTTGTTCAGCCGCCTAATCCGGATGAGCACAACATCAGTGTTTTCGTGAATGACGGAACGTAGACGTGCAAAATTATTGGTATAGTGACGTTGACGGCAGGTGAAGGTACGTGAAGAATGAGTTCCTATCAGTTCGTCAACTCGCTCGCATCATGCTACGCGGGTCAACAGTCACAGCAGCAGCCGAGACCAACCGCGAATTCACCTGGAGAACCGGCGATGCAGGCAGCATCGCCGGCCGGTGGCGAATATTACAATCCGAATGCAGCGTCTACCAGCTATCCCGCGCCCTGCTACTCACCTCAACAGCATTATCCTCAGCATCCTTATGCCACGCCGGCGTCGGGCATGCAGCATCCAGCACCGACAGGGATGATAGACTATACTCAACTGCAACCACAGCCTCGGCTAAATGCGACCACAACGTCACAGCAACACGGTATGCACGCTCAACAGTCACAACACCATCAGCAACCGCATCATCCTCAGCAACTTCACGCGGATCCAACGACGCCTCTTCTGCAGGGTGCCTCGGCACCGTCAGCACCGTCAACGTCCAGCTGCAAATATGCTGATTCGACATCGTCCACCAGTGTGGCGTCTCCTCAAGATTTAACAACGTCCACTTCGAGAAATAGCCCAACGCCTTTAGTAGCACCTGGTACGAGTAAAGCCGCATCAGGATTGACTTCACCGCCTGGTAGCTCGTCAAGGTCGTCCGTGGCTGCGTCCGCTGCCTCACCACCCAGCGGTAGCTCGAGGGGCGTCGGCGAGGGAAATTCAACGCTGACAACAGCATCTTCCGCTTCGTCGCCCGCTTCCTCTACATCCAGCACCTCTAGCACGGGTAACAATTCGTCCAACAAGGGGAACTCTTCCGGCACTAACCCGCCTCAAATATATCCATGGATGAAAAGGGTTCACATTGGTCAGAGTAAGTCGTTCATCTATCGTATCTTTTAAATTCTGTTATCGCTAAAAATGGTGCGGGTCTTCAAGACACATCTTCCGTTTCTTTTCTCCCGTGCTTTCCGAATAAAAAAACACTTTGCTTTTGATCTTATTAAAACGGTAAATGCGAAAATTAATAACAATTAAATTATTACATTGTTAGGATTATAACTACATACAATTATAACATTTCTAGGTATTTTATTTTACTTTAAATTTAAACTTTTAAATCTGATATACGATTTAAAGTTTCGGTTAATATGTTAATATATACATATAAACGCATATATTTTTTTTCTAAACTTTCGAAATGCCATCCATCTACTAAAAGCATACAGATACTAAATTACAGCAAAAATATACAAGTCCACATATTATGAATCTATTTAATTTTGATAATAGCAATCTCCGCTTATATTTTGTGTTTTAACGGTAAACACAGGAATTTATAAATTTCGACATTTATCGAAATATCGCTTAATTTAAAACGCAAATATCTATTTGTTTGTAGATATTTATTTTTTATCATGTTTTAAGTGCAACGACATATTAATTTGCGCAATGCGGCCTTCTGTAATGTAATTTTTATGCAAGAAGATTAGGAAAAAATTAGGAAAAACATTGAATTGGAAATAACCAACTTTAGTAGATTCTACGAATACTCGGAATTCAGTCTAAAGGTGAATCGTTGTTACATAAGATTAATGAAACAACAATTAATAAATTACAATATCTGACGTCAAAACGCAGATTACGTAAATATTGCTTAGAGAGAGAAGGATATCATATATGAATATATTTTATCGTAAAATAATTACAAATATCTTCAGAGTAACAGTAAAGTACGAATTTCGTCAACATAGATGTTGCAAAAAATAATAAAATTTCATCGCGAAATAGATATAATCAAATTTAACTCTATTGAAAAATGTAAAACACTTCATAAAACAGCTTTCTGATTTTAATTTATATACTAAATATAGAAGATATTTTGTATCTTGTTGAGTATATAATTGTTAAATACTACACGAACAATTGGATGAAATATAATTTAGCATTCGTCAAGTGCGACATGTTACTGTATTGATATTCTTACCGCATATCAAGAGAAAACAAATAAGAGATGAGACTAAGAAACGAAGACGGGTTAATAACATATTAAGCAGACGATTAGCGATTACATACTCGGAATAAATGCTCAATAAACGCATCAAAACCGCCGGCAGCACAAAACGACTCGTGACTCGTGCTCTCTATCTACGCTCGATCAAGCATATATGCGGAAATGAGCTCGCGGTTCGAGATACGGACGAAAAGCAGTGCGGGGGTGCGGTCAGAACGGATAACAGTAATTCAGTGGGGACCAAGACTAGATTCACCTGCCCCCGTGGTTCAAAGAAGATAAAACAGCCCAGCGCGCTGGTCGCGCTCACATTAGTCGCCCCGCGTGATTTACTGCGCGGCCAGTATGATTCAGTCAGCGGGGAATTTGACGAAGAATTAATGGTATTATGATATCGTGTGTAACTCTATGTATGTGCGCCCGGGCCATAAATCAGGCTGCATTGTAAGGCGCGGGGGGTTGCCTTCTCCTTCTAGTTCTCTCGGGTTAGCTCGAACGAGGGCCTCAGATCGTTCGGCTCGGCCCCCAAACGGGATACGCGGCTCAGATCTTTCTTGTACAAGTTTCGGCTTCCTCTCCCAATCGTTCGCATCATGCCCGCCTGGTTAATGTAGCATCCTTTTACTTCGGCTTACGTCTCCCGCGCGATTATTTCGCGTATGCCTCGGTCCGCGAGAAGCGAAAGGTACGAGCAGACTCGCCGCCTTATACACTGGTTATAGTAATATCATATTATGAAAACAGGGTCTTGTGTATGTACATATTTAGCATGATATGGATCTCAACGACCTTAACAATTCATAAGTTCCAATTTTAGTGGAATTCCAGCTATAATTAAACTTCGAAGCAATAGTCGATAGTAATGCAAAAATTTGAGATTGCTAGTGAATTATAATTAATTATGATAACGCGATAACGCTGATAATAATTAAACAAAGTAATAAAAAATAAATTTATACGTCAAGCAAATAAAAGATAAATTTTTTAGGAGTCTGAAAAACATTGGGTATATATATAGTATAATCTATAGTGCGTAATACCATTATAAATTCTACTAACATAAAAATAATTACTGCATAGCAAAGAATAGCAGCGAAGTAAAGTCATAAATCTTGCGCGAATGCATGGAATGCAATGATCCTGAGAAACACGCTTGAAATAGTTATCAAGGACTATTGACCTATTCTTCTAATATCTGTCTAAGATTTGTCTTTTGATATGTCTTCAATGCAAAACCTTTGTCTAAACTGTTAGCATTTATTTACTGATGAAAAGACCTTTTTTTCATTTGTATCTCGGTTGAATTTCAAGAACGTTTTCTTTTTAAAGTAAATTCTTAAAATCTATTTCAAATTTGAAATAGATTAATGATTATTGTAATAAACTTGCACTTGAAACAATTATGTAAGATTTATGAAAATTAGTCGAATAAACATACGAAAATCAAAGCTGCATGCAAAATAATAGACCAGTTAGAAATAAAAAACAAACAATTCACATCCACATTAAGAGGAAAATAATTGATTCGTCGAGGTTAATGCTCACTAACAGAAGACATTCCGTTTAGACTTCATCCAGCCGTTCCGACGCTTTTGAACTGATGCATAAACGTCTGAACACTAGATTTGAACAAATAAACTACTTATTAATAGCCAAAAGAATGAATAAGAGAATCTGGCTTACTCAAAATAGTACATTATTGTATGACTACTTTGCTACTTTGCCCTATGTGAGAGAAGAAATATTTTTTATTTAAAATATATAATTATTGTTTTTAACATACTTATATTTATATTATTCTATGATACGTAAACAAGAAACAAAATCTTAGTCACATATATCCTCCACAATAAGAATATTTTAATAAATACATTTTTTTTTAATTAAATAATAGATATATATATAATTTAGTTTAAACACAAATGTTTTATTAACATCGAAACTTCATAAGATATTATTTATCATTTTATAAATGATTTATTTAGAGCGTTTATTAAAGTAAAAAAAATTATTGTTACGCAAATGATAGCATTTTTATTTATGGATTGTTGGTGTAAGTAATCGGGAGAAAACGAGAAAGAGAGGAAAGATGTTTTAAAAGAGACAAAGTGTGATTAAACAAGTGAAAGGCAGATTTACTTTATAGGAAGTGTAATAACACACTGATTATTCTTCTACAAACACAGTTGACGTAAGAGAGCTGCGAGAAAAAGAATTATACCCTTTCTTTAAATCGTATCAATAGCAAAAAGCATCACAGTCTCTGATTTTATTTTATTGTAAGAGAGTTTTATCCTCAGTATGTCGCGTTTGCCAACGCGTCTCAAATTTCTCATAGTTTTAAGTCATCATTCTAACTATTTGTCAAATGTCGGAAGATACTCTTTAATAAAAATTGAGAAATTTTTATATAAATCTAGAATAATGTCATGCATTCTTTTATGAATTATCATGCTATTTTGGAAATTGTACAAATTATCTGGAATACGTCCTTGCTGCTGGCAAAAGCACGCAGCTTATAAACATGTGGGTCATCTTTGGGATAAGTAGCAAGTTCGAGATAGGTCCGAGATAAGTAGCTATCATCCGACGAGCAGCAAACTCGAATAAACATGCAATTGATGCGTAAAATGAACAGTTCTGCAGTTTATTTCCGAAATATCGACCTCGCATGCATGTGAGTGGGCGCCGCAGCCCCTGTTTAGATAAGCAGAAGGTCGTTTTCGTCATGGAGTCTGTAATTATGGGCCGATCATTCCGCCATAAATAAGGATGTGCGGAGCGCCGCGAGGAAAGGCACGTTTCTGTGTCCCGATTGATAGATGGCTACCAAACGTGATTTCCAACGTACGAATTCCCCACGCCGGAAGGGTAGACAGTCGAACCAGTGGAACTGGATCTCACTTAATGCCCTTAGCACATTTACACGTCATAAATATGTGATAGTTGGCGGAACAATTTTCTTGTCGAGGAATGGCGTCTACAAATGATTTAAATGAACCATGATATTATGTCAAGCTTTCTTGATTGTCATTTTATTCAATTAATTTGTCAATTCTACACGCGCTAAAGTTCTGTATATTTATACTAATAACGAAGAGTAGAAAAACGGCTTTTTATTTATTGCATTCTACGTACTGGATTTTGATATGGTGCAGATAAAATAAGTACAGTGCCTCAAGCAAACATATGCACGCATGTACGTACGGTTACGGCGCACTAACAGGAGAGGGAGATACGAGGACGTGCTTCAAAGAACTGGTTTTACTAACCACATAGCATACTGCATTTTTACGCCGACGAAAATGTTTTTATTCCGAGATACTTAATCAATCCACGCCATACGTACAACTGTTCTAAGGCATTAGGGTTAGCAAAATCTAGGATTGTTCGTCATCGTCTAAAAATAATTTAACGATCATATTTCTTTAGAAAATTCACATTGAGTAGGTGTATTTTTCCTCACGTTTATAAATATTGTTTGTAAAGTTAATTGGTAATTTAGTAATAAACAATAATGAACAATGTTAAAGAAAAGAAATATTATTGTTACTATTTTATTAAATTTAATGATATGACCTACAAAATAGTGACCACATGAAAAATAATATTATTAAATTATTAGTATCATTTGTCTCTCATGACTAATACGTATATAAATGTTGTATAACGTTAATTGGTTTTAAATCAGCGAAACATACTGTATTTTAAAATTTAATAATTCATGATTTCATCATTTTTCATTCATGCTTCTCATTTATGAATGTGTGGCATCAGTTGAAGCGAAATGTGTCGTACAAAGAGAAGAAAGTTATCATCGTACTACAGTTTGTGTATAACCGCGGGAAGAGCGCGAATCA